AGCAAACCCAGTAGGTTCTGATCTACTGAAAATGCCTAGAAAAAGAACGGAGTGTTGAATGAGTGCCAGTCATGTTGAAAACCATGGTTGGTTGCTGCCTGCAGCAACTCAGTGCTAGCACTGAGTTCTAGTCTGTAACATCAAATAATCCATTTCGGAACAGAATCATACTTTACTCACGATAGAATTGTAGAATTATTTCAGAATTAGTGAGACTTAATTCAGGGGTTTACTGAAGATCGATTGTCGCATCTCACCTAAATTTCTGCGTTAGGTTGCGCCAGAATTGCTCCCAGTTCTGCTGCTATTAAATAGATGTTCTCCTATGATTTAACCAGTGTTTCACCTAAACTTAACCAGTGTATTCCATTATTTAACCACTATTTGCCTATTCTAACCATTATTTATGCAATTTTTTCTCATTCCGGCTATTACTAAACCGAGATACGCCCGTTATATTACTATTTTCCTTATTAGGATAGGTCAATGCAAATGAGAAAGGATGTGTAATAAAGCGACATGTACCTCAAGCTCCCAGAATTTTGAAAATGGTCCAACAGTCCCCTATTTTAAAGCAGGTTGCAACACCTTTTTAGATTTGCCGTTTGGATGTCATTCCTTGAAAGTGTATGTCTAACCACCTAGCTTCGTTTAGCGCTTGGTAATTCTGATTAAATATATTAAACTGATAACCTATATGATTGGTGTTTGCTTTAAGGAGGGATAATGTTTAGGCAAAAAAGTGAAGTAAATTTACTCTTCAATTTTTCTGTGCTTTAGATGTTCTCATCGGTTTGATTTGTTTTCACTGGGAAATGAACTAGTTAGATATCATTGCTTTGTTGATATTAGTACAAACAAAATGACTCTCACTAAGTGGAAACGTGGTGACTATTGATTATTGCAGGAATGGAATTCTGTGAATGAAAAAGTGAATAGGTTCGATAACTAAGGATGCTAGATATCTAGGTGATGAATTATTTCACTGGACCATGAATGTGGGCAATGGTTGCAAAGTGTTAAAATATTTTATCATGCAACGGGCACTTGAGTAAATAAAGCATAGCCTTGGTCGATACAGCATTTTTCGAAAACTTCTTTAGTGGGATTAATATCAAACACCAGGCTTTTTTATCTTTGTGTACCTGCGGGAATAAGTTTCGACATGAACTTTTCCTATAACCCAGCGGATTTCACACGCATATATTTCCATAGGTTAATTTGTCTCTCTTGTGAATAATTCACGACCACAATAAATTGGTGAAATAACAATGCAGTAAGGATTGACAGCGATGATGCGGTCTGTAGGAGAAGCATAGGAGACTTCGGTTGCCGTACTCTTATTACAACCAAAACGGCCATCATGATGCTGTTATCCTGCCTAGTATAAACTAAATCAGTCAGTCCTCCTTATAAATCTTTATATCTACGCCATATATGGAAACTTGGCATGGATTTCCAGTTATGTTCTTTTCACGTTTAATTTGTTATTACGAAGCTTATATGAATCCTAGATTTGTACGTAATTAACTACGCTTATACTGGTGTAAACCACATTGATTGCAAGGCAACATAAGAATCTTTAACCAGGCTTCATGGTCTTTCAGTAGAATAAGCTAAGGTAAGGTGAGCAATCTGTCTGTCTGTCTGTTTTCGACATAGAACTCTGCACAAATGTGCGGCAGTTCAAGTCGCCACACCGTGTAGCACGCGAAGCAAGAGAAGAAAGTACAAGAAAAGCATAATAGAAACAGTGAGCAGAAATGTGAGACAAAGTAATAGTAATAACGAAGAACAAAACAGTCTCATTGGAAATTATAAGTCACAAGGAGTGGATGCATCTGCGCTAGCCATTGAGAACGATTTCGAGCCATGTCACAAATTGTTTCCAACCATTGGTTTTTAACGTCCCGAGGACCCCAACCAGTCAGGAAGTCTACACCTTCCTACGTGGCCGGCTTAAACCAACTGTTGTGGATTTCATTGACTGGTGCCAAGTTTTTGTTTGACCGCCGCTAGCTTTTTTCCAGCCTGACCCTATATCCGCTAACATTGCTCGTCGAGGGAGGCGATGACTTGGCATACGTAACACATGTCCTAACCATCTCAGTCTTTGTAACTTCACGACTTCGTCGAGCAATCACTACTGAACAGCGTGACTGGAGCCTTCAGCTGTCGCTTATGATCTCGTCGTGGTTACCAGACAGAAGACGTAGACTTTACTGCCATACTAAGGAATCTTTCCTCAATATCTTGCTTTGGTGTAGTTGCATCTAACTTCTCTTTAAACTAATTTTAACCTCGTTGGCAAAGCACGCGGGTAGATAGTCAGTAGTAATGTGTCCTAAACATATTGGATCACAGCGTTTTACCAAATCATGGATTGGCTTGCATGTTTTTTTTCAATTCACCAAATTCTGGTAATGTAGTCAGATGATTTCAGCATTCACAGTATTATGGTACAACACTTCGTTGGTAGGTGGTTAAATACCTCGTCTACTTCAAAAATGTCACAATTTAGCCAAACAAACAAACTACTTTGTCTCCACCAAGGTTTAATTAGTTATCAATTAACGAGGATTTATGTAGCTTCTCTTCTGAGTGAAATAATCGATGAATCTATTATCTCGTTTTGTATTACGACCAGGTTATGATTACATTTTTTATAAAATTAACTGTTAATATAATACCAGAATACTGTTTACAATTTATGAATTACATTGCAAAGTTGATCGAAATAGCTGTCAAATAGTACTGAAGACTCATCAGCAGTATCAACTGTTACCTGGTGGTGAACTCCAGTAAATTTGTTGTTAAATCCTGACAGACTGTTCTGTGTCCTAACTTGTTACACTCCTGTTATACTATGGTCCTCGTTGTTGTTGTTTGAAATCAATCCGCCGAACAGGTTTTTCATGCTGTAGGCTCTGAGGTACACTTATCATTTTAAGGTTGGTGATACTACTCATTGAAGTGGTAGAGCACGTTGTCTGCTTCATTTATTTGGGAAGTACCATCAGCCCCAACGGGTTTATCTCTGACAAAATCTCAGCACGGATAAAGAAGGCTAGTTTCGCACATGCCAGTTTACGCCGTCTCTGGCGTAGACGTGATATCCGATTATCGACCAAAGGGCGGATGTACTGCTCATCAGACATGAAAAGATTAGCTGTCTTTGATCATAGGTGCCTGCGTTGTATCTCCCGCGTGAAGTGGTATAATAAGGCGTCAGTCGAGTTCTAGGTAAGGAGGGGAAATCAATCGACGGAGCTGTGAAGCTACATCGACTGAGATGGTTAGGACATGTGTTACATATGCCTAGTCATCGCCTTCTTCGACGGACAATGTCAGCTGATATAGGGTCATTAATGAAAACAAAACACGTAGATCAGCGAAGAGTCTCTTTTCGGCGAATTCATTTTCTTAGCTGTACAATCGCAAATATATATGCGATATATTATAGGGTCAGGCTAGAAAAGAGCTAGGGGAGGTCAAACAGAAGCATGGCACCAGTCAATGAAATCCACAACAGTTGGTTTAAGCCGGCCACGTAGGAAGGTGTAGACTTCCTGACTGGTTGGGGTCCTCGGGACGTTAAAAACCAATGGTTGGAAACAATTTGTGACATGGCTCGAAATCGTTCTCAATGGCTAGCGCAGATGCATCCACTCCTTGTGACTTATAATTTCCAATGAGACTGTTTTGTTCTTCGTTATTACTATTACTTTGTCTCACATCTCTGTTTACTGTCTCTATTATGCATTTCTTCGACTTTTTTCTCTTGTTTTGTGTGCTACATGGAGTGTGGCAACTTGAACTGGTGCACATATGTGCAAAGTTCTATGTCGAAAATAGACAGATACTACTCAGTTGCCTCTCCGAAGTAGGTGAAGAGAGATTCGGGCTCGCCATCTTCTGGCCGAGAGTCGAGTGCTTAAGCCACTGAGCCACTTCTCCACATGATTCTCACGAGCCAATTATAATCTGTTGTTTGAGTTACACGATTTATCGAGTGTCAGATAATGCGTATATATATACCACATGTCTGACAGATTATTTGTTTGTCTCAAATTTTATCTTGAACAATGAATTCTAGAAATTTTTGCTACTTATTCCTCACTTTATTGAAAAATCTCAATGTACCTCACAAAAGTGAATAGGCGAATGAGAACGTCTGGCACCTACAGCCGGACTGGTCGACATGTTAGTCTTTCTAAGGGGAGCTAGAAAGCCCTGATTCCAATCCTGTTGTGTACATAAGCTGAAGAATCCGGACGGGTCGAGTGGTGCATGAATTTATTTTGATCACTGGCATCCATGAAAATGTAGCTCCTGACACTGCTGTACTACATTCTAGATCAGACTTCATGTTAAAAGTTTATGGAGTGGTGACTCCTTAACATAATCACCAACTTCGGTATCCGAGTAGCAGTACCCCAACCACTGCGCATCTTTTAGTGCCCATAATGTGCCAAGTTTGTGTTTTGATAACATAATAACACAGTTTCTCTGACTAGTTTTGTGGAGAACCGACGAATTGCTTGGTGAATTGTGATCTTTAGATACGATCTTTGTTTCGCCTTTGCTCATCAATTCACACAAAACACAGGATTCCTGCCGATTGCCTCCGACTATCTAATATCATCAAATCAGTGTGCACCGCGATGGCGAGCTGCCTACAATGGTGGCCACATTACAAACCTGGCTGATAGAATTCAGTTTGCACCAAAGAAAGGACTAGACACGTCGCACTAGTTGGTTTCTAGTGTCCAATCAAAACAGGACTGCACTGTTTACTAGTCTTTTGTGTGGAATGCTACTACACATTACATCTTGATGCAATTTTATGTATTCTATCAATGATGTAGTTAACTATATTTTTTTCCAGATATTTTGTGTTAACTTGGTGAGATTCCCGTGAATTCCAGTCTACTGCTGTTAAAAGCCTATATATCGAACACTTGATGCATACAAGGTGACAGCTTGTCTTACATAGAAAAATGGTAGAGATTAACGACGGTCGCCATTTCAAAAACCCTTATGACGATTATATTTCAGAAAACCAACTACAAGTATTTAGATTGGTATAATGTTGTAAAACTAATTTTTACAGGTGGAAAACACAAATATTCCAAGGAAATTTATTGAATTATTAAATGTGTTAAATGCTAAGTACGAGAAATTATCCTCTTCTGATATATCTATGTACACGGGGTTATCAGGTGAGTGACACGTCTGAAACTGCCAAATACATGTTTTTGATGTTAAAATGTTTTACTGTTCTCGGACGACTAAGTTAAAGGGTTATGAGATTTCATACACATGGTTCCCTTGATAAAATTCAATAAAGCAAGGAAGACGAAATTAGCAGTGTAAAATTACACTGTCCTATTTCAGAGGTTCTCATCAGCTGCAAACTACCTGGAATTAGAATGGTTTTAATTTGATGAAAATAACATACTTCGTTGTTGGAATGGTAGTAGAGAAATTGTTATATATATATATATATATATATATATATATATGTATGCTCTATAGGTGGGTTTACATACTTGTGTTGTGTAACTGACTGCACAAGAAAGGGAATTTTTAGTAGAACTTTCCAAAACGGAATTCAAACTATAAGCAGTTTGTCACCGTTGTTGTTGTTGACTTGCGAGTTTTTTCAAATCGTGGTAAATAATCACCAGGACAGACGGAAAAGAACAAGAAGTTCAGCATAGATATCTTTTCGGCGATTTCATTCCCAAAAGCTGTATTTATATACATAATTTTAACCAGTACCTCCTCTAGGCATTTAGCTGGCCTATAACAACGCTGAACCTACTGAGCATCGAACACCCCCCTGAATGGGATGTTAACACCAGTCCGTCGTCCCTAACTGAGGTTACAAAAGCTGTCACTAAACTGAAGTGAAGCAAAGCAGCGGGACCTGGTGGAATGACTCCAGAGGTGTTTAAGGACGGTAGAGACAGTTTACTGCCTGTGTCAATTAAGGTATTAGGCAGCCTTTGGGAATAAGAGATAGTCCTGTCGGTCTGGTGTAAGTCATTGATTTTCTCGATATACAAGAAGGGAGACAAGTCTTCCTGGGATACTCAAAGGGAGATTAGCTTGACCAATATGGTATCTAAAGTTGTAGGCTCGGTAATCATGCGTAGACTAAGTGGTACTCATGAGAGAACCAGACAGGCTTTAGACCAGGAAGAGGGGCATTGATCATACCTTCAGCCTTCGACAGATTTTAGAACATAGGCATTCTTACCGGCGCCCAACAATCATTATATTTCTTGACTTGAAGGCGGTGTTCGATTCCGTCGACCGAGGGGTCCTATGGCGATATTTGGCCGTGAAGGGAATCCCGAAAAAATACATTGCACTGATCAAATTACTCACTCTACTCGAGCTCTTTCAGTCATCCATGTGAGAGCCTCTGGAGAGTTGTCATCTGAAGTGGTGACAACCAGTGGTGTCCGTCCGGGATGCCCACTATCCCCATTTCTGTTGAATCCCATCATAGATGTACTAATGAACATAACCCTGACTTCAGCGAATTAGAGATTGACTTGTTACCACCAGGAAATAATAGTATCGTTAACTTAGAATATGCAAACAATGTAGTGGTGCTCTTAGGTGTAGACACTGACAAAATTTAGAGTCTTTTGAATACCTTGAGGAGTAGTAATCTTCGAATGTTTCGCATGCGATTCGCTCCCGCTGTTAAATGTAAGATGATGCTACAGGACTGGACTACATCGACTCGCTCCTATTTTAAAGACAGGCAGTGAAGTGGTTGTTATAGTGTGCTGACCACTTCACTTATTTGGGAAGTTGTATCATCCAAAGCCAGCATGTTGATGGCTGACGAAACCTCAGTGTGGATACAGAAGGCTCGTTTGACATACACCAACTTACGCCATTTTTGGCGTAGATGTGGTATCTGGCTGGTTGTCGACATGTGTACTGCACAGCAGCAGTTCGTTCTGTCCTCCTTTATGGCTGTGAGTGGGACATGGCCATTGAAAGTGGAAAGTACGAAAAAGGCTAACTATCTTTGATCATACGTATCTGCGTTCTATCTGCCATGTTAAGTGGTATAATAGGGTGAGTAATATTGAGGTTAGGCATCAGTTGAGTGCTAGGTAAGGAGGGGAAATCAATCGACGAGGTTGTGAATTTACACCGACATGTGTCGCGCATGCCCAGCCATCGATCCCCATCCTCGACGGGCATTATTAGCTGACTGACATAGGATATATCAGGTTGGAAAAGAGCTAATGGTGGTCAAACCAAAGCATGGCTTCATCAGTCAATGAAATAAATCCACAACAGTTAGTTCAAGCCAGCCATCCAGTCAGTCACGTAGGGAGGTGTAGACAGCTGTCTGGTTGGGGGTCCTCGGGATGGTAAAAACCAATGACAACTGGAGACAATTGGTGATATGGCTCAAAATCGTTTTTCTCAATTGTTAGTGCCGATGAATTCACTCTTTATGATTTATCATATCTAATAAAATCCTATTGTTCTTCCCTATTACTATTCTTTTCCGCTCACCCACACTTCTATTTATCGTCTCTCGTTTGAATCTCTACTGTGTTCTCTTGCTTTGTGTGGTATACGGAGTGTGTCAAATCAAACTGGTACACATCTGTGGAAAGTTGTACGTTGAAAGCAGTTAGTCAGTGCCTTCTATTTGCAGCCATGCTGGGTAATGTTCTCCAACACGGTTTGACGGAACCCTCATAGAACGACCCATGTACCTAGCTCCTCACTAGCAGGTGAACTGATATACACACATTATAGTGGTTATATGCGAAAAGTTTGTCCTTCACATAGCTTAGACTCGGTGGGAGGTTAGAGTTTATCACTCTTAGAGTTGCTTCAGGAAAGATCTTCCTTAGGGAACTGGAGATTGTCCTCTTAAGGATTTTCGCTGTTAAGTTCAGATTCAAATATATATAATGTGCTTTTTTGTACTGAAGTGCATTCTTTTCTTTTTTGGCTTTGGTTTCATGTTCTTCTCCATGAAACCTGTCGGGTATCCATTTTGAGCGACGATATTTTTTGAGAAATGAAAGCTCCTCTTCTAAGCGGTTACTGCTGCAAATTCTTCTGATACGATGGACCAGTGAGCTGATGAGAGCTCTGTTTTGACTGACAAGAATCCAACAATAGAAGTTTCTTAGTCGTCTATTGTGTGATGGTTTTATGTGGACAGATCTTTACGGAGTTCCATTATCTATTCTTGTCAATTCAACCTTCAGGAATGGAATCTTTGAGTCATTTTCTACTTCTGATGTGAATTTAAGTGAAGGGTGACAGTGTTGTTAAACTTTTGTAAGATACAATTCAAATCAGAATCATCGTGACAGATTATAAAAGCGTCGTTGGCATACTTTTTGTACAGCAGCAATTTGTCTGTTGTTGATGATGATGATTTTAAGATCCCATTTTCTAAAATGACCATAAAGCAGTCTGCCAAAAGTGGGCTAAAAGGAAAGACCATGACAACCCCATCTTTCTGTCTGTAGATATCGTCGTTGAAGGTAAACTGTACATGTGTGTAAACTTGTGTATATGTGTGTCGGTGGCACAGAGGTTAGGACTCCCGCCGACCATGCAAATAGTCCGGAGATCGATCCTCTACCGCCTGCGAAATCTGGGCTACCGATGTGACATGCTGAAAATTCCATACTTGTACCAAAAATACGGTGTGGAATCAAGCTATAATCAAAAAATTCAAATCTCCGAAAAGATTGTCTTTGGTGAACTTCTTGTTCTTTTCTGTCTTACGGATTTTCGTTGAGTCAGTTGACTTAAATCCAGCTTTTTTATTTTGCCTTGCAATCACGAATATATAATTACGCAATCGTTCACATTTCATCCTTTATCAGGTATTGGATTATTCTACAATTATCTATCACAATCAAAAAGTAAACTCATCGATAAAAAAATATGTGAAGATGCTGTCCAGCATGCTGAAAGGTTATTGCATCGTTGTCTGCGTCATATTGACATGAAAAAGTTATCTAAGAATATTAGTGTTTTCACTGGATCTATCGGTGCATTATGCTTAGGTGTACTGTGCACCTCGGCTCACAGTACAGATGCAAAACGTTACTTGGAACAAATTCTCTCCGCTAGTAATTATGCTGCTTTAAATGATTCGAATTCTAATATGCCTGATGAAGCACTCTATGGAAGAACAGGTTATTTGAATTGTCTGCTAACTTTGAAAGAATACAACAATTCTGATATACCCAGTACTACGATTTCATTGGTATGTATTTTTAAATATATATATATATATATATACAATCTCTATAGTTTGGTTTGTAAGGGTTAGTTTTGTTTTTACGAGTTGATCACGAATTGATATCAGTTAGAGAACCATTGAAAACCAGTTGGGAGTGCTGGACAGCTGTTTCATCCTAGTCTGGGAATTATCGGCTGTACGCACCCACTGACGGGGTTCGAACCCAGGGCCTTCGTATACCATTCAGCCACTGGAACCCGATTCGATGGCTCATGAATTCTTACTTCTACCAATTCGTGATTTAGCGCGACCCCAACCATTGTCATAGGTGGGACATCCGTCCTCACACGTGCTATCTGGATGGACCTCGAACCCCAGTGGGTGCGTACTGCTGATGATTCACAAACTAGGATGAAACAGCAGCTGTCCAGTACTCCGTGGTTTTCAATAGTTCTCTAACTGATATCAATCCGTGATCAACTTGTAAAAATCTACAATCTCTTGTCTTAGGTATAGATTTTGTTTTTATAACTTATAGCAGGTATTAACCAAGTTTATTATTATTACTGTCATTTTGCAAGAGTTATTTTGTAGGTATTTTATGTATCTCAATTTTGATTATGGATTGATATCAGTTAGAGAACCGTTGAAAACCGGTTGGGTGTACTGGACATCTGTTTTGCTTTTAGTTAGGGGCTCTCTATAGTACTCACCCACAAACCTACCAGGGATCGAACCTAGGACCCTCAAGTTATGACGCCAAGCTCCTTGAACATTTAGCTATTTGGGCTGGAGTTCAATAACCAGTTAATTCTAAACCACCTCAATTAATGGCGATCTAGGATATTATTATTCCCTTAGGTTGCGAGTGGAACTGTGAGCATCACATCGCCACTTCATTCTGTTCTTTATAGTTCATTTTAGCTGACTTCACGATTGTCCATTGGCTTTCATCTCCTTTGTACACGATCTTCTCCATGTCACACTCTCACTTACGCCCAACTTGTTGTGTCCTGTTTGGATTGCACTAGAATGTCTGATGTCTCTTCGGCTCATAAAATATCCAATCCATCTCTATTTCTCTTAGCATTTTTGGGGGTGGGGTGGCAATAGGCACTCGATATGTAAGTTATTGTTATTCCGATGTTTAAATACGATTCATGCTTTTGTCAAGTTTGATGACGGATTGATATCAGTTAGACAATCATTGAAAACCGGGAAGTGCTGCCGAAAATTCTCAAACTAGGACGAAACAGTTGTCCAGTATGGCTATCGGTGACCGCATCGTAGGCAGTATGACTGCTGAGTCGTAAGCCTAACAACTGATACCTGTCGTACAGTGGCGTCACCAGGTTAAGTGATATGGTTAGCTTATCAATAGGATGTGGTTCCGGCACTAAGTACAATTAGATAGCTTACATGAAACTAAATTATGTATTTTTGCAAGTTATGTGGTCTGGGGTAAGGTTTTATATTTTGAGGGGTTTGAACAGTTCAACTTTTTACCAGTTCACACAAGTAGCTAACGAGAAATCAGATCGTTTTTAATTGATTCGGCTTCCTGAGATGAGTCAAACTCGGGGGTACATGCCGCTAATGATCTCAGCCCCGAATGCGCGAAACAGTTGAACATTGATATAAGAATAAAACTTGTGCACTGTGGTAGAGTATAATTCCATTATGGGTAAATTTTTGTTTTGATAAAGTCTCACAGTGTTATACAGTAATGTTTACTGATGACGTTTCGAGCAGAATTTATTGCTCATAATCATATCAAGGTAATCAAGGTTAATACCTTGATATGATTATGAGCAATAAATTGTGCTCGAAACGTCATCAGTAAACATTACTGTATAACACTGTGAGACTTTATCAAAACAAAAATTTACCCATAATGGAAACAGTTGAACAGTCTTATATCTGATTATACTACTTTTTGATTGAGATGAGTGGTATTGCTTGTGAGCCAGACCTAAGTGATGTGAACACCGAACAGCTGTTTCATTTGTTGGGTACTGAGGTCATCAACAACGTGTGTGTGTCGTTGATCCAACTGGGGAATACTCGCTAACTATATCGCACACGTGGTCTGGCGTTCGATCGCCGGCCATGTGGCACTTCTTAACTTCTCTTAGCCCGATAGTAAGCCCGGTAAATAGGGAAATTTGGCTGCGAAGCTAGCAACCTCACCCACCCCGTAGAAAATATTAACACCACTTCGATTGAAACTTCAAAGTTCCAGCTTGAAGCCCTATATTCCACTTGGGGAACGCATAGGAATAAAAATTTCAGAAAAATAATCAATGGTGTACTCGGTTTTAGTTTGTTTATTAGATGTATCACACAATGAAATAGTATTATTATTTACTGGATGACAATGTTTCGAACACAATTTATTATTGCTCATAATCATATCAATTATAATCACACGACTTCGAAACTTGAGTTTTATAGATTTCGTTGTTCTGTCCGATTGGTCGTAGAGGTGTAGGATTTTCCAGATATCTGGGACAGGTGTTGAATCATTCCTATTACACATATTTGCAGTTGATTCGATAAACAAAGCTTCGATTATCAATCTCTCCTTTTACCCTGTTACATTATTATGTCATCCTATCGAATGGCTGTGTTGTGTGTAATTGCATGTAGTGCTATAGCTGAACTACTCTCTAGATTTCTTATGTTTTCGGGTCAGCTAATCAAGATTTTGCCAGGTTTTTATGTTCGGCTAGTCTAACTGTCCCTGTTCTACTAGTTTGACCTATATATTTGACCTGACAATCATTTCGGCAGGGTATTCTTTTGTCTCACACTTCTGTTTACTGTCTCTATTATGCATTTCTTCTACTTTCTTCTTTTGCTTTGTGTGCTACATGAAGTGTGTCGACTTGAACTGCCGCACATGTGTGCAAATTTCTATTTCGAAAGCAGACAGACAGACCGGCAGGGTATTAGATAAACTAAAAGTTGCATTCAAACCCACAAAGTTAATTGGAAACAACCTTTGTCGGTTAAAGGATCCTGTGGAGCCTTTAAAACAAAACAGTTCTACCACTTCTACGAAGACAAATAGGAGAGAACAAACAAAACTATAAAACTCAAGTTTCGAAGTCGTGTGATTATAATTGATGATATGATTATGAACCATAATAAACTGTGTTCGAAACGTCATCCAGTAAATGATACTGTTTCACTGTGTGATACATCTAATAGACAAACCAATATGGAATTACTTACTACCATAGTGCCCAAGTTTTACACAAATATTAATGGTGTACTCGGTTGACTTCAGCTCGGATATCTTAATCAGTTCAAACCATCCGAATTCTGGCTAACTACATAGGCCAACTGGTAAGCAAGTAGCTAGTATGTAGTCAGAACTAGGCCGGTTCGAACTGATTAAGCTCTCTGAACTGAGTCGAACTGGGCAAACGGCTGATAATCTCAGATCCTAAACCAACAAAATAACTGTCTATTTGGTCTGGATAGCAGTAAGCATTACTCGCTAGTGGTGTGAGTAATTTCCATCTACTTATATCAGTTAATGAGTAGTATTCAGCTTTCTTGATTATTATTTGTTGTATCAAGCAGGTTATATATTGTGATTTCGTTACAATTTCATTTCGCATATTGTTATTGCTAGCTGTTATAGTATTTTGTCTCTGCTTAAAAGTGCTAACACGCCTAATTTTTTATATAGGTAATTAATGCTATCTTACAATCTGGTCAGCGAACAGCTAGTGCTTACAAATCCAATGGTTATTATGATTCTTTAATACGACATTCCTCCAAACGAAACTTACCAATGCCACCGTTAATGTTTGAATGGCATGAAAAATGTTATCTTGGTGGGGCGCATGGTTTTGCTGGTATTTTAACCACTCTTTTAAAGGTGGGTAAGTAAGTTAGTTATGCTTGGTTCCGTTATGGATAAAATTTTTATTTTGATAAAGTGTCACACAGTGTGTTTGTTATATAGTAGTATTCACTACTGGTGACCACATTTCGAGCACAATTTATTGCTTCTCAGAGTCATATCAAGGCACTACTCACACAACTTTCTTACTTCATTTATATACATGAGTAAAAATTCATGGTTAGACATTTGAATGAAGTCAATAAAAGATAAAGTAAATTCGGAAATAATATTGTAACAACAGAAGACAAGGGCCGGCAACAGATCGTTTTATTACGGAAATCAGCACGTATCTATATATATTTTATGTACATTATTATAGCTTATTCAAGTAGACAAACACAGTCTTCTGATTGGTTGTTTCTGATTTCTCGGAAAGTGAGGCCATCTATCTGCGAATCTTATTTGCCCACGTTAAGTCTGCTGTGATTGGTTGTTAAATCAGCCTTGTTCATATTTTCTCACGGCCAATATTAGTGACCTAGACATTGACGTAGATTAATGTCTACCAATTGGCTATAACAGCCGGCTCTCACCACAATATTAGTGTTATCAATCAAATACAATCAGACGGGAAATACGACAAGTGTTTTTATAGTAAAATAAATAAATAACTCGTTAGAATCTTATCATGTGAATTGAATACATTTTAGGATTATTTATTATCCTGTTCTGATTTGACTGGTGGTAATAATATCTTCCATATCTGTGGTATTTACTTTGAGTCACTACTATTGTATGTATTGGCTGTGTTGTAGACTTGATGAACCTGGCAGGAATTCAGTAATGAATCTCTCTCGTGCTCCACTTACCCATATTACTTTTTAGAATTTTGACTCTGTCCCACCCACCCAATTGCTTGGTTGTGTGTGTTAATGCATGCAGTGCAATGTAGCGCTGAGTTTTTTCTCAATTACTTATCTTCGCAGGGTCAGTCATTATACCTTTAGCTAATCTCTTATGTTCTGATAATCTCACTGCTCCTGATCTACAAGTTTGACCTATGCAGTTGGCTTAACTCACAGTCATTGCAAAGTATTTTGTAAATCATATTACTTTGTTTAATTGGGTCAACCAACAGGGTCCTTTAACCCGCAGAGCTTGTCCCTACCTGAATGAGTTTGTAGCTTTGAAGACCATCCTTATTCCTGCTTTATTAAGAATCCTACTATATGGGGTCTCAGATGTCCCCTCCTTATATGGTAAAACTACTGTAGATGCCTTATATTCTTTCTTATGTATTTTATCATTATCAGTTTCACCATTATTTTCATTTTACTTTTGACCTTTTTTGATCTTTTTAGTGAATTATATAGGACAGTTATTTAACAGCAACGAGGTATTCTTCTGTTTCATTTCATCATTTAGGTTTTTTATTGTACTACTTAGTGCTACTGCTCGGTTTGTTAGACACTTAACTAAGCCTGTCTGCCTTCACAGACAACGGATGAAGTGATGAAATAATGTCTGAATATCTATTCGAATGCATAGCTTAGATTTATTTTTCTTCTCTAGGCAACTTATCTGCCTGAAATCTATCATTTTAGTTTTGGTTGAATTGAAAATACCCATGGAGGCATGAAGAAAATAAAAGACGGCAATTCAGTGAAGAAAATGCTTCTTTATCGATGAAGTCATCTTTTCTAAACTACGTCTCGGTCAACGCCGACGAAGGTTTTTTCTAAGTTGATGAAGTTGAGGTAGAGGTTTCACTGCCATTCTATGCTTTGTTCAGTGATGGCGATTTGATCAGTAGATGGGTTTGCTCTTCCTGAATCCAGCTTGTTCTGGACGGAGGTTTGTATCCAGTGCATCTTTTATTCTCTCCGGGATGATGCAACTTAGTATTATACTTGGTGAAGATGGACAAGAGCATTATTCCACGCTAGTTCTTGCAGAGGCCTAAGTCACCCTTCTTTGGCAGCTTGGCAAGGTACCTTTTCTTCCAATCTGTAAGTACCTTTCCTTACTTTCAAACCTTTTGCAATAATGGTGTGAGTACATGTGCCGCAGTCCCTGGGTTCGTTATCAGTGCATTGGGGGAGGGGGGATTCCAATGGCTGGAGACAATTGGTGATATGGCTCAAAATTGTTCTGTTTATTATCTCTCTTTTGAATCTCTCTTTACTTTGTTCGCTTGTTGCTTTGTGTGCTACAAGGAGGGAGTGTGTCAACTGGAACTGCTGCACATCTGTACAAAGTTCTGCGTTGAAACTAGTCAATCACTCAGTCAGTTCTCTCAGATGACCAGTAAGTATCCCTCTCTGTTTTTAGGAGGAGATGGAGTTAGAAAAGACCAACTCCCAAAATTGTACATCCTGATTTACCTCGTGTTGGTCCGTAGCTGGTGGTAGTACGAACACAACTCAAAATTCCTCTTCAAACAAGCCATGTGTGTGTCTGTGTGTAACCGGCTACAAACAATTGTCTCTTTGGGCTCTGGGATCACACATCTCTACACTAATACTGCTTTTCTGTTTCAGGTGCGCCAAAAAGTCCAGTCTCTGTGGACAATATATTTATATTCGAATGGGGGAAGATAATAGACAGTGTTCCTGTTAAAATTCGCTGATAAATTTATGATTGCATACATTATTTCGCTGTTGTGAGTTAATTCATAACTCTCTTTTTTTACTTGTATTACCACAATGAATTACCTTACAAATAGGCTTATCGTCTGTTTCCCGGTGTAATATCATCGGATACTTTAAATCAACTAATTTTGCCTACTGTTGAATGGATGGGACAACTTCAGTTACCGAGTGGAAATTGGCCTTCAAGTCTGGGGGATAGTATAAGTCGGGATGTATTAGTTCATTGGTGTCATGGTGCAACCGGTGTAATCCCACTTATGCTGTCAGCTTATAAGGTAAGGTGAATTTTTTATAATGATTTCAAATTTTCATAGACTTGAATATTTTAATATTATTTATTGATAGGTGGAAGAGGGCAATCAGATGAACTTGCTTTATTGCTTTACTTCGGCTATCTCCTACGGGAGGATGAGCCGGCTTCATGAACGTCTCGAATCATCACTGCTCAGGCGTGGCAATTTGTAAGAGAGTTCATGAAGTTTCATGGGAATTTGGTACGAGTGATGTCCCCAGCATCGCTCGGCCTTTTGTTTGAGAGTGCAGCTCTAGCCTTTACACAGCCAAGTGTGACCTACAAGGCAGTAGGAGTGGAGTAAGGAGTCCACTATCCATTGGCAGCCGGTGACCGGAGTTCGGTTCATACGCCTTTTTGAATGGGACCAGACATCCAGGACATCCAACAAGCCCTTTGTCCATACGTCTGCGGGTGAGCTCCAGTGAGCTTCATACGCCAGTCGTTGGAGGTTTGGAATCAGGGTTTAGCCATCTCCCCTAGACTGTCATCCAATGGACAGTCAACCCGGTGGAGAGCGCCGGGCATCCGCTTTCGCCCTCTCACTTTGGTGAAAAACACCTCCGCCACGTGAAGGCAGTGAGTAGGACTTCCTCAGGAGAGGCTATGTAAGACGCCCGGTCATATAGGAGCATTTCAAGAGGTGTGCAGATGAACATCTTACCCTGTATCAGGGAATGGTTGGTTAACTGAATGTGTGTGTGTCATAAATATACTACAGCTGTCTTCAGCATATTATTTTATGTTTTCATAACGGGACTATCCAGTTTATTTTTGTGATGTTTGTACGCCTTATTTCTAGTTGCTGCTACCCTCTTATCCCCACTGAAAAAGTACTGTTGTTTGAAGTTTCTAATTGCGTAGTTAGAGACGAATAGTCAAAGAGCTGGCATCGTAACAGCAAGGTCCAGTCTTCGGTGGTGGTGTCGAATTCAATCTCTTTTAAAAACTAATGCTTTTTGACATATTGTTTATTAAATAATAAAGTTCATCCAACATACTACATTTGGTTATAACGAAGGTATCATCCACATTCTTGGAGGATTAGAGCATCTCATAATTGCATTTGTTTCTAATGCGTGCATAAACGGATTGATGACTAGCGGAGACACTAGTGATCCCATTGTAGTGCCTTCTGTCTGATGGTAAAAAACTCCTCAGAATTTGGATTCTTTTTTTCATAGATAGGTTTAAAAGATATATATATATTGTGCGTCGGTGGCACAGTGGTTAGAACTCTCGCCGACCATGCACATGGTTCGAGGTTCGACTCCCTGCCGACGCACACCTGATATCTATGGTTGGCCTGCAAAATTTGGGCTGCCGATATCCATGCTGAAAATTCCATACTTGTATCAAAAATACAGTGTGGAATCAAGCTGTAATCAAAAATAATAAAAAAATAAAATAATAATAAAACATCAATTTTATTTCCTGTCTCTATAAGATGTTTCACAATAGAGGAGCTAGGTCTCCTGTTCTCACTATTAATAGGTTCTAGGGATTCTCTTAGCTTTTGGAGCCATTTAGGGATATGCTCTGAAGCCAGCCTTTACTTGTAGAGATCGACAAGTCTTTCCTACGTATGTGTGTCCACACGTACATTGAAATTGGTAAATGCAGTGAGATGAGATATCACGTTTCGCATGTTCAGAGGGCTTAGATGGATATATTGGCTTCACATTCTTAATTATTATGCTATTAGCTGCATAAAAAGTCTTTCTAACAGCATCGTTCAATCTTCGTCTAGTTGTCAAGCTGCTGTGATCATCCATATAGGGCAGTCTGATGTAAACGTCTTTCTTAGCGGTGAGTTGGAGAGTAGGTGTCTTGGTGTTCTAACTGCTTTATATCTTCTAATGAACATGTCTGGATAATTATTGTCAACCAGAGTTTGTGTCAACTTTCTTTCTTCCTCATCAAGTGTGTCTTCAGTGCATATTCTTTGGATTCTACTGAAGAGGCACCTCACTGCCTAAGGCTATTTTGTACTGAACAACAGAGCAGAAACTGTGGTAATTAAGATACTATCCTGTCCAGGTAGGTTTTCTATAAACAAATCGTTTTATTGACCCATCAAGCCGCCGACTAAGCAATATATCTGGGAAAGATAAACAAATATGTTCCTCTTCTACAGACGTAAGTGATATGCTATTCTGAACTTCATTCATTCGTTTTAAAATTGGGGTGGCAGAACAAGGCTTATTCATCATTTATGATTACAATGTCATCTACTTACCTTCTATAAAGTGGCACATTTTCGATTGAATCCTCCGATAAACTCTTAATGTACGACATATGGATAACTGTTAAGTATTTTTTCCTGTCCGTCTGTATATGATAGATGAAAGTTACTCATGTTGTATTTTATTTGTATATTAATAATTTTAAAATAGTGATCGTTTTTTAATTTCTCTTTTCTAGATAACCGGTGAAAAGAAGTATTTAGAGCGTGCATTGACTGGTGGAGAAGTTCTCTGGACTCGTGGTCTACTTCATAAAGGTTGTGGTTTATGTCATGGTTCTGCTGGTAGCGGTTTCAGTCTATTGGAAATTTATCAAACTACACATGATCCTAAGTATTTGTATAGGGCTATAAAGGTAAGTAAGTAAGTAAGTCAATGTTGTTAGTCAATGGACAAGCTTGTTTGTTAACTAGGAAGTTGTGATTTATGCTGCATGTATTGATACATGAAAGTCTTATGGGAGACGGCGTTGATTTGTTTACTTCTGGTTTACTTTTCTGTGGGTTTTCAGTGTCATATGTACAATCAGATTTGTCCATTCATCACTGATGGCTTAAATTTCTGAGGGTTTTGTGAATATAACATACCATGCATTTTGTCTGGTACATATTGTAATTGTCATTCTGGTCGTCGTTTTTCGCATTCTAATTTTTGTTTCTATCTCAATGGGTGCGATAATTTCAAGTGGTCAGTTGGTGTTTGTTATGTACTCGTCGCTGAATTATTGTTATGGACTGGTCGAGAAATTAATAGTCCTGACGCGAGAAGGCGGAAATCAGAAGACCACTAGGTTTGCGATGATACTTCTATTGTCCAAACACAAGGAGACGAAATAAAATGGTCTCACACCAAAGTGGTCAGTAAGTAAAGTAGTTGTAAAGTAAAGTAGTTCACACAGATTGTAAATGCGAATATATATGAATAATTCAGACAAGCGTGGGAAAATCATTAGACAGTCTTAACATGAATGGCTAATTATAATGGAGTGTCGATCCAATTATACATAGCGAATATAGCAGACATGCCAACAAACATATATGGATATATGTCACCAAGCTACGGACTGTCAACAAACACTCATATTATATATAATATAATATAAGGAGAATACACATTAATAAAGGAGACAAGTTCACACAAGTGAAGTGGTCACAGACTAAGAGAGCAAACAGAAAGAGAGACCAACATGCACACACACACATAAATATATATATGTGGATACATATCAGTGTTATAATGTCGTATTTTGGAGACACATTCTGAGAAATCCAGTCGACCAGGTTTTGAAGTTACACCGATGGCGATGATTAGGACATGTGTTACGCATGCATCTCTTGCCGTCGTCTTCGTCGATGGGAAATGTTAGCTGAGGTTGAGAAAGAGCTAGTAATGGTCAAACCGAAACATGGTTTCATCAGTTTTTGAAATCCACAACAGTTAGTTTAAGCCAGCCACGTAGGAAGGTGCATACTGGTTGTTTGTCTGCTTAAAGTCCTCAGGATGGTAAGAAACACTGGTTGCTGAAGACAGTTGATGATATTGCTCAGAATGGATGGCGCACATTTGGAACAACGGCCAACTCGTTGTTTCCCATTGGTGTTCCACTCGAGATTGTAGCTGGCGCGCGGTATCACTCAGCGGTTTTCATAGAGTGTATTCGATCCAGTTCCAACCTTATGCAACCAATTCATTGTAGTAATGTATTCTGATAAAATTGCATCATTCTCATTACTACGAACCAGTCCATCTTATATTTAGTAGCTCTGTGGAGGCGAGGCGACAGTCAGAAGTAATCGGTGATCAGTAAAATAACCGAACCCACAAGTTAGCAGTATTGTTACGTAATCACCGATATTACAGATTAGGAATTAAATTATTTTCAAGCGTTGGTTTGCAGGTTACAGACTTGGTCACAAGCTGACATCGGTTAAAGAACTGTTGGAAAACCTGCAGAGAGTATTGAACAGCTGTTTCGTCCTAGTTCTGAACTCTTCAGCACTACTTACCCGTCAGAGTTCGAACATGGAACCTTGAAGTTGCAAGAGAGCTGGTAGACGATTAAGCTACTGGGACGGGTCCCTTGGCCAGCGTATGAATTCCAACTTCTCTCTACTCACGGTCTATAGTGAGGTCCACTAAGTCAGGTGAGAGGCCAGTTACTCGCGCTTCGTATCGCAGATTGCCAGAAGTTGGGACCTATAGGTCGTTATATCGCATATCACTGACAGAATGGTTTCCGAACTCGTCTTGTTACTGGAAAGTCCTGAGTTCGGACGCTAGTGGTGGATGCGCACTGCTGAAGAGTCCCAAACTAGAGCTGTCCAGTATTCTCTGGTTTTTCAGCGATTCTCTGACTGATGTCATCTCGTAGCCAGACCTGTAACCAATTGAATGGGTGACTGAACAGTTGTTGGTGTTGAATCTTTTTTCTTCAATGTTTTCTTGGACTTAGCAGACAATGTCAATCCCAGTGTATGTTGCAAATTTTGTTTTTGTATGCCTCAAGAGTTCATTGCGTGTTGGACACCAGTCAGTAACTAGTGTGATGTATCTAGTCCTTTCTTTGGTGCAGACTGAACTCTATCATCAGTTAAGTTTGCAATGTGGCCACTATGCCAGGTGGCTCGCTATCACGGTGCGGTGCACTGTGAATTGTTGGTATTAGGTAGTTGAAGGCAGTCGGCAGGAAGGCTTGCCTAACCTAGGTTTCATGCTTGTTGATATTTATCAGTCAGCCAGGCATATCTGCAACCTTGAAAGAACTCATGTGTCTTCTGTGGTTCGAACTCGCATCACTCACTGCTGCAGTTAGAGATGTTACCACTCAGACAACTAACATGGTGGCCACATTGCAAACCTGACTGATAGAATTCAGTTTGAACCAAAGGTAGGACTAGACACACTACACTAGTTACTGACAAGTGTTCAATCAAACATATCCAATACAATCCTACAAGAAGTCAATCGCGAGCCCGAATAGCTCAGTGGTAACGTCTTTGACTTCAGATTTTACTGCGTGACGCTGGTTCGAATCTCATAAGTTTCTTCACGGTTGCATATACACCTTGCTGACTGGCGCGAAACCTAGATCCAAGGCATCCTGGAGATTGCCTTCAACTATCCAATACGACATTTGCATGGTAGTGATTTAATGGTAAGAGTGTTCAGCCTGGCCACCGACTGATTCCGGAACCTCACCTAGCTGACAGTAAACATTGATGGGATGGAAGGTTAAGCGTAAGGCTAGCAACCTCACCTTGTAAAATAACACAAACGCTGTAGAAGTTTGTAGCCCTATGCTCCACTAGCCGGACGCAAAGAATTAGAAAAAAGCTACACTCATAGAAATTGATGTATATTCTTTAGCCTCACTGCAGCTGCTGAAATGTTCATATAACTTTTGGGTTAATAAATGAATAAATTTCAGGCAGAATAAAAGTGTTATACTGTCCTTGTACTTATTATCTTGCTTTCGTTTAATATTATATTTAGTTTGCTGATTGGTGTACTGATTGCTTTACCAATGCTACTCGTGTTGCTGATCGGCCATATTCACTTTTTGAAGGTTGGTTTATTTTATGACATTCATATTTATAATCGAGAACAAATAATTATACCTATTTCTTTGACATAGGTCATATATGAGCGTTATTCAATTATTTAGTAGAAATATGTCTTGTTTTAGTTGCTTAAAGAGATGAAGACATTGACAAAATGCTGAGTCTTCTGAACACCTCCAGGAGCAGCAATCTGCAAATGTTTGGCATGCGATTTGCTCCTGCTGTTAAATTTAAGATGATGCTACAGGAGTGCGTCGGTAGCATGGCGGTTAGAACTCTTGCTGACCATGCACATGATCCGGGGTTCGATCCCCTGCCGACGCACATCTGATATCTATGTTCGGCCTGCCCATATCATATGCTGAAAATTCCATGCTGGTACCAAAATTACTGTGTGATTTCAAGTTATGATCAAAATCGAAAGTTAAAGAAAGGGAGTGAAGTGGCTAGTGAAGCGTGTTGACCATTTCACTTATTTTGGGAGTTGAAGCAGCCAGCTCCAACGAGTTAATTGCTGACGAAATCACAGCACGTATTCAGAAGGCTGGCTTGGCATTTATCTGACAACTGACGCTTTCTCTAGCTTAGTAGACGTGATATCCGGCTGTTAACTAAAGGGTCTGTGTACTGCTTAGCAGTTCGTTCCGTCTTCCTTTATGACTGTCTGTGAGACATGGCCATTAAAAGTGGAAGATATGAGAAGCCGCCCGACCAGCTGTCTTTGATAATAGATGTCTGCGTTCTATTTTCCATGTTAGATGGTATAATAAGTTGAGCAGTATTGTGGTAAGGCGTTGTCGTGTGTGCTAGGTAAGGAGGGGTGGGGGAATCAATCGACGAGTTTGTGAAGTTATACTGATTGAGGTAGTTAGGGCATGTGTCGTGCATGCATCCCTTAGCCATTAATCGCCTTCCTCGACGGGCAATGTTAGCTAACTGACATATTATCAGGTTGGGAAAGACCTAGTGGTGGTAGTCAAACAATAACATGGCCTCATTAGTCAATGAAATCTACAACAGTTAGTATGAGCCATATAGAGAGGTGTTAACTGCTGTCTGGTTGGTGTCCACGCGACGATAAAAACCAATGACGACTGGAGACAATTGGCGACATGGCTCAAAATCATTGTCGGTGATGACTGGCGCAGATGCATTCACTCTTTGTTCTTCAATATTACTGCTCGTTTTACCTCACATTTCTGCTTTAATATCTCTCTTCTCTTACTTTGTTTACTACATGGAGAGAGAGAATATCGTAACTCGAACTGCTGCACATCTGTGCAAAAATTCTGTATTGAAATCAAACGGTCACTTTTCTAAAAAAAAAGTTAACACAGTATTTTATCGAAATAGTTTAAGTAATATTGTGGTGTTGGAATACAGACAATGAGTTCCAGTGGGATATTATTCACACACTTGAATAGTGAGTGTATTAGCAACAGAATACTTGATATGTATCCATATATATATATATATATATATATGTGTGTGTGTGTATGGTGATCTCTCTTTCTTTTGCTCTCTTAGTCTGTGACCACTTCACTTGGATGAACCTGTCTCCTTTAGCAATGTATATTCCCCTTATATTATATATAATATGAGTGTTTGTTGACAGTCCGTTGCTTGGTGACATATCCATATATGGTGGTTGTCGACATGTCTGCTATATTTCGCTATGTATATATGGATCGACACTCCATTATAATTAGGATATCATGTTAAGACTGTCTATTGATTTGTTCACACACTTGTCTGGACATTCATATATATTTCGCTCACACAATCTTGTGTGACTACTTTTGGTGTGATACCACTTATTGCTTCTCCTGGTGTTTTGGAAAATAGAAGTATCATCGCAAACCTAGTGGTCTTCTGATTTCCGCCTTCTTGCGTCAGGACTATTAAATTCTCGACCAGTCCATAACAATAATTTGTCGACGAGTACATAACAAATTTGGCGACGGGGAAAACTACTATTAACCACTCAGCAGCAGCGACATAACAATACTATACACATGTATTTGAACATTCTATTTCACATCGTTTAGTGTAAACCAAAATCACAAGCTCAGTGATGGGGTTACGAATATAAACTCTATATGTGTATAGCGTTTTGATCACTTGAAAATATACCCTAGGCTTCCGTCTCTTGCCTTCTGTTGTTACAATATTCATGTTTGATAGTCGTGGGATATTGGGAGAAGCTTTAAAAATGTGTGTATCCATTTGATTAAATTAAAGACTGAGAGTTGTGGCTGATATTGAATTTCATGTACAATCCTCATTCAGTCAATAATGAATAGATCGTGGAAAAAACACCCATATGGACATTAGAGAGAAAGAAGAGAACACGAAGTTCAGCAAAGATGGCGATCTTTTCGGCGGATTTCATTCTCAAAAGCTGTACAATCACATTTATATAGATTATTTTACATGGATACAATTATTATTTGTTTCATTCCACATAGTATGATGAAGGCGATAATAATAATAAGTGAACGCTGCAGTTTAAAAGACTTTTTATGCAGCTAAGATCACAATAATTGAGAATGTGAAGTCAATATATCCAAGTAAGCCCTTTGAACATGCGAAAAGCGATGTCACATCCCACTGTATTCACCAAATCGAATATACGTGTGGACACACATATATAGGGAGGACTCATCGATCTCTGCAAGTAAGCGCTGGCTTCAGAGCATATTTCTAATTGACTCCAGAAACAAACAGAATCCCCAGAATCCATTGATGGTGAGAACAGGTGACGACCTAGCTCCTTTGTTGCGAAACATATTATGGAGACAGGACATAAAATTCATGTTTACACATCCCTTAAGCCTATCTATAAAAGTGTTTGGAGTGTATCCTAAAGTTTGTGGAAGCGTCAGCAATTATAAAGTTTAAACCACCTTTATGCGTTCAAAAACGATTCGTCATCACGCTAAACCTCCTTTAAAAGAAGTAATAAAGCAGGATTTAATGAATTCATCAAATTTCGGTAGAACTCTTCAGCTGCTCAGTACTCTACATACACGGATATATATACTTTTGAAATTACATTGGGAGATATAAAAGTGATAAGTAAACAAAACTACATTGAATTAGTCATGCAGAAAGACAGGTACAAATGTTTTCCAGATCATATTCAAATAGACAAGGGGAGAGAGAGAGTATGAGAGATCAAAATTAAGATTAATTGCATTACGCTTCAATTATATCACTTAGATAAACAATTAGTCATTAGAGAATATAACTAGAATTGCAAACAGACTAATATCAATAGTAATAGTTATAATAACAATAATAATAATAGTTTTGAAGTGTGTTTAGATAATGGTATTGATAAAGAATAGTTTTAAATGAATCAAGAATAATAATAAGTAAAATGTATTAACATGGTAGAGTGATGACCATCTCCTTTTGTACGCAGAGACCTGGTTTATAAACTGGAATTGCACAAGCCTCTGCAATTGCAAGCATCTCCCTGTTTCTTTGTCTGCTGACAATAGCGAATGACTTGACCGCGTCGATATCATGTCCGTAGTTCACAAGATGTTTAGTTATTGAGAAATTTGGCACTTTGAACTCAGCCGTTTTCAACCATTTCGGCAAATGCTCCATCATGCTAGTAGACAATCGCCTTTGTGTACGACCTGTGTATTTGCTTCCACGCAGTTTGAAGTGCCGAGGATTGGCGACTGGTCTTTCCCAGATTGTTAAAGCATTCGCTTAGTGGTGTTAAGGATAACAAGTTTTGCAGCATAATAAGTTCTCTTGATGGTTTTATCGAGTCTTCGTTTGACTACTTGAAACGTGAAACCTTTAACTTATTAAATAGTCAGTAGAACAACTGGATCTCGTCTTTCCAACTCATATCATTTATAGGTACAACGTTTTCTTTCTTTCTTTTCCTTTTCTCCCTTTTTTTCTGTTATGTGCAGCTTTGTTTCTTTCTTCTGCTTACGCCAGTAAATATGCTAGAATCTACTTTTCCAACACCTTCTAACACTCTGTTTAGTTTTGGCTTTGCTACCGACATACCAATTTGTTGTTGTCAAAACTAACTAAGATTACCTTAATCTATGTAAAACTTTACTTGTTGTTAATGTACTAGCTGGATGCAATATTGTAGTAAAATGCTGAGAATTCCATTCTGTATCACAAGTACTGTTTTGGAATACAGCTGTTATTATCTTATCTTACTTCCTGTACAACGGCAAACTGATATAGACAGGTTTCTTCGGAACTGTTTGGATTGCTTCGTAGGTGTTAATTTCTTTAGAGTATTTATTAATGAACTTCTCAGGATATCCATTCTTAGATAAAATATCCTTCAGAGATTTTATTTCATGCCCGATAGTACTGTCAGAAAAACTTTTTCGTGCTCTAATGAACAGTGTTCTAACTAAGTTATTTTTATACTGGATTGGAACAAAACTCTTGAAGTGCATATACTGTCCTGTCCATGAAGACTTTCTTAATATAGATCTTTCGATAAACCTTCTTTGGTATACTTTATTTTGATACCATAGCAGATATTCTGTTAACTCTCTTATTCGGTTTAGTGGTCTTCATTGTTATTTCGACTTTCAATACACGTCCTTTTAACTTCACCTAACTTGTCTATTTTCTCACCTCGTAACTCTTTACTCATTTCATATGTATTCCTATGACAAGACGGTGTGGGATGAATCAGATTGTTCGAAATGGGTGGTGCGCAAATACACATTTCACAATTCAGACAAATTACGTCTTCTTATTACTTTGTCTATAGAGTTGTAGAGTTAAAAATAACCCATGTTGACAGAAAACAAAAGGGGTGTCACCCTGATCTCCGGTTTCACCATCTGAATGACTAGAGCTTGATTCCCCAATGCAAATGATACGAAAGCGTATTGTACTTGTCAGGTTGTTGTTGACTTTGTAGATTTACTTTGAAAGAGGAGATTGTTGGGGGATAGCAACTGACTTTCAGTGGAAACAAGTGCGGTGTAGCCTACTTTGCACCTTGGAAACCACCAAGCACATGTCTATATATGTAGGTGGAAGATAAATTAATTGTGCAATCGGTGCAAATCTATATTGTCTGACCCTCAACATCCCTTCTATTCTCAACTCTCCCCGCCTTGAATCTCATCTGGTAGAACTAGAAGTTAGTACAAAAGATTATGCGCTCGTACTATCAAGGATGGTAACTCAACGGTACCATATTTGTTACATGATTTCATCATGAGTTGACATTAGTTGGAGAATCATTGGAAAACCTGGAAGTACTGGACAGCTGTTTCGTCCTAGTTTGGGACTCTTTACCAGTACGCACCCACCGGGATTCGAACCCAGGAGCTTCTGGTTGCAAGGTGAGTTCGTATACCATTAAGCCACTGGGACCCGATCCAATGGCCCATGAATTCTAACTTCTGCCAATTCACGACATAGCGCGGTCGCGTACTGATGAAGAGTCCCAAACTAGGACGAAACAGCTGTCAAGTACTCCCAAGTTTTCCAACGATTCTCTAACTAATGTCAACTCATGATGAAATCATGTAACCAATCAAATCCCTACAAACCAACACTTGAGTACCATATTTAGCCAACCCGTGTTCTATGTGGTAGAGACAATGTGTAGCACAAAATCTGTGAATTAATAGGTTGTTAGCAGAATAATCGGTTCTTTTTATCCTCTCCTATTTGTAATCTATGGTGACACTGTCTCAATTAAACTGACAATTTTAGCTACTAACATTTTCGTTATTTATAATTTTTATCTTGGTATATATATGTGACTTCGCTGTCACTACAAATACCTAATAAGCGCTGCCACTAATAGTCTTGTAATATTATTATTAAAACTGTTTTTAATGTTATTCTGGTGAAATTAGATACAATATTATACCAAATGCTCAGAATCCCACACTATACCATTAGTCTGTCTGTTTTCAACATAGAACTTTGCACCGATATGCGGGAGTTCAAGTCGCCACTCTCCCTCCATGTAGCACACAAAGCAAGAGAAGACAGTAAACAGAGGTGTGAGACAAAAGAATAGTAATAACGAAGAACGATATAGTTTCATTGGAAATCATAAGTCACGAAGAGTGTGTTATGTACTCGTCGCTAGATTATTGTTATGGACTGGTCGAGAAACTAATAGTCCTGACGCGAGAAGGCGGAAATCAGAAGACCACTAGGTTTGCGATGATACTTCTATTGTCCAAACACAAGGAGACGAAAATAAATGGTCTCACACCAAAGTGGTAAGCAAGTCAAGTAGTTGTAAAGTAAAGTAGTTCACACAAATTGTGAATGCGAATATATATAAATAATTCAGACAAGCGTGGGAAAAATCATTAGACAGTCTTAACATGAATGGCTAATTATAATGGAGTGTCGATCCAATTATACATAGCGAATATAGCAGACATGCCAACAAACATATATGGATATATGTCACCAAGCAACGGACTGTCAACAAACACTCATATTATATATAATATAATATAAGGAGAATACACATTATTAAAGGAGACAAGTCCATACAAGTGAAGTGGTCACAGACTAACCGAGCAAACAGAAAGAGAGACCAACATGCACACACACACATAAATATATATATGTGGATACATATCACCTCCCCTTTTGAGAAGATGAATGATTAGTAGGATGTTTACCTGGGGGTTTATCTGGGACCTTTGGGCTTGTTGTTGACGCCTGTCGTTTCGTCTGATTGTTGGGTTTGCGGCTTCGGCTCCGTCCGGAATTGTCTAGCATTTTATGCTTCTTCACTGTATTGCGTAGAGAATTTAGTGGGACATCAGCCAGATGCAAACGATCGAACCAATCAAGTCCCAAAACATTTAAATCATTCTTCGTGACGTAACAAATTCCTGTGAATTTGGTATTGCGGAAGGAAACAGAACATTTGAGTTCACCAATTAGTTTGAGCCGCCCACCACAGGCGCTGAGAAGAGACTGGGAAGTATTGGTGATAGGTGGTCTGCCAATATAATTCCAAAGTTTCTCTGATATAACAGTAATATCAGAGGCAGTATCTAGCTGCAGACGAGTATCATGACCATTCATCTGAAGGTCAATATATTTCCGCATAGCTGGTGTTGTGACTTGACAGGTTGCACGTAGACTCAGTGATCTTTTTGGAGATTTAGGACCGACATTTTGTTGAGCTTTTGCTGGATTATGATATCTGAGTTGGCGTGGCTGACAAAACCCATTTTTATGACCGATGATTTTGCACTTGCTGCAACGATGATTTTTGTATGGGCAAGACTTTACAAAGTGCCACGCGCCACAATGCCAGCATGGTGATGGTGGGGTCTTCTTTGCAGTATTTTGTGAAGTTGGACGAGTATGTGTAGATTTCCGCGGAACATTAGGAGAAGTAGGTGGGTCAGGAGTAGCTGATGAGAGATTTTTGCTCTTGCGTAATGCACGAATATCAGAGCTTCTCGGAGGTGTTGATTCGACCAAGTGTGTGTCTTTCTGCAGATTAATCAGCCGTTGATATTCATCAGCTATGTCATGTAATGTTAACTTGGGATTTTGTTCTAGCTGATTGAGCAGTCGAGTTCGGATATCTGTGAAACGAGGAGATTGGAGACTGCATATGAGAATCAAGGCTTTGAACTGATCATCTGTTAAGGACCTGAGTCGAAATCTCTCACATTCTCGGTTGACTGTGCCAACGTGAGTAAGAAAATCATCATTTTCATTCATTGCCAGCTTGAGGCAACGATAACGTATACTGAATAATGAGGAGTGGTCTCCGAAATGTTCACGCAGCAACTTTATTGTATCATCGAAACAATTGTCACGTGGTTTCTGTGGTAAAATTAGGTTGCAGTACCGTTCATATTCTGCCGGACCCAATTTACGTAGCAAAACTCGCACCTTCCAGGCATCGTCTTGTGAGGCGAGATCAACAGTGAATAAATCCTCATAACGTTGATACCATGTGTCAAAAGTGACATTAGCCTCTGGGTCATAATTGAACTGTGAAATGCTGTTCACAATTCCGTCGACAGATGGTAGCATGGTATGATTGGGATTGCTTGAAGGTGAAGCTGGACCAGTCTGTTGGTTGACGAACATTTCCATTAATTTCAATTGTTGTTCAAACAATAATTCCAATTTAGAATAATCCATAGTAAATTGTTATGTTGTTGCTGCTGTGTGGTTAATAGTAGTTTTCCCCGTCGCCAAATTGTTATGTACTAGTTTTCCCCGTCGCCAAATTGTTATGTACTCGTCGCTAGATTATTGTTATGGACTGGTCGAGAAACTAATAGTCCTGACGCGAGAAGGCGGAAATCAGAAGACCACTAGGTTTGCGATGATACTTCTATTGTCCAAACACAAGGAGACGAAAATAAATGGTCTCACACCAAAGTGGTAAGTAAGTAAAGTGGTTGTAAAGTAAAGTAGTTCACACAAATTGTGAATGCGAATATATATAAATAATTCAGACAAGCGTGGGAAAAATCATTAGACAGTCTTAACATGAATGGCTAATTATAATGGAGTGTCGATCCAATTATACATAGCGAATATAGCAGACATGCCAACAAACATATATGGATATATGTCACCAAGCAACGGACTGTCAACAAACACTCATATTATATATAATATAATATAAGGAGAATACACATTATTAAAGGAGACAAGTCCATACAAGTGAAGTGGTCACAGACTAACCGAGCAAACAGAAAGAGAGACCAACATGCACACACACACATAAATATATATATGTGGATACATATCAGAGTGGATGTATCTGCGCTAGCCATTGAGAACGATCACTTTGAGTCATATCACCAATTGTTTCCAACCGTTGTTTTTTACCGTCCCTAGGACCCCAACCAGTCAGGAAGTCTACACTTTCCTACGTAGCCGGCTTAAACTAGCTGTTGTGGTTTTCATAGCCTCGTCGATTGATTTCCCCTCCTTACCTAGCACTCGACGCCTAACCTTACTATTGGTTTCCTTATTATACCACTTCACGCGGCAGACAGAACGCAGGCATCTATGATCAAACATAGCTAATCTTTCCACTCTCAATGGCCAGGTCTCGCAGCCATAAAGGCGGACGGAGAGGACTGCTGATAGCTGCTACCTTGACCTGATGATCAGGCTTGGACATCGCGATGACCCAACAAGCTACACTGGCTGAAACTATTGTTTCTGCAGGTCCTACTATCCCAGGAAGGTTGTTAGGATAGCAATTAGACTAAAAGCAGTTACCGGCATTGTGTAGGGATATTTTTGAACTATGCTGGGGGCCTGTGAGCGAAGTTGTACTGCGGAGGAATAGGGATGTAACAGCAGTGAAATGTGTCCCTCAGATGACCAGCATGCCAGCCAGCTATGTTGTCTCTCCACTCCGAAGAAAGTGGGTTAGAAAAGGTCGACCTCAAAAATTGTACATCCCGACTTACCCTACGGTGGTCCGTAACCGGTGGTAAGTTTACTAATACGGAACCAAACCAAGAAACCAGTTCATATAGGCTGTGTGTGACCGGCCTGGCTCAAGCAGTTGTCCCCTGGGCTCTGCTGTCACGCAACACTAACCGTCTTTCTGTTTCAACTTCCACGGTGTTGGGCAACCGGGAAGTAACAACCGCCCACACATTTGCAAAAGCACACGAAGCCTTCTTGAGCATCATTCTCTGTATCATTAGTAGTATTTAAAGCTTATTTCCTGGTTTACCTAGAAATCTATAGTGTTAAGGTATATCCATACACTAATTGTTAATCTAACCTTTTACTGATCATTCAAATATGTATATATTTATAGGTCTTGCTGGAACACTGTATTTTCTTGTTGGTATTATGGACCCAGTCAACTCGAAATTTCCATTGTTGAGTGGACTTTAAGTCAACTTTGCAGAATTGTTTTTTTATTGCATAAATTTCTTCTATCTTTGAAAAATTTGTTTCTGTTTGTTTTTCATCTTCATCATTTAACATTTTTGATAATTTTACGAATAAAAATCTTCAAATCATAATTCTACTCATGTCTATATTCATTATAAAAATTTATTTAAAATAATCCCAGCGTTTTGATAATATATATCAGGTGGTTGAAGGCAATCGGCCACAGGAAGCCTTACCTGATCTAGGCTTCATGTTAGTTGGCACTCACCAGTCAGCAATACGTGTATCTGCAGACTTGAAGAAATTCATGTCCCACCCCTGTGAGATTCGAGCCCACATCATCGTGCATCGTGATGGCGAGCTACGTAGAATAGTGGCCAGATTGCAAACCTGTCTGATAGAATTCAGTCTGCACCAATTGTGTCTTCCACTAGACGGCACATCACACTAGTTACTGACTAGTGTCCAGTAAAAATATAATCCCAGCGTGTTCATGAAAAAATCAAAACAAGATCTGTTTTCTGAATATTTCGTCGTGTAAGTCATTACAGCTTCTTCAGCAAAACTATTCAGATTTTATTAGTCATCAAAATATATATAGTCAAGAATGTTTTACATAAATTGAAATCGGTTCATTTGACGGTCACTTGTTGATAAACATTTGTACCAATAGAAATATGTAAGCAGTCATCACATATATTTGTAATGACTAACGTCAAATTTGTTATAGTGCATATGTGTCTGAACTGAACTTTCTAGTGTCCCGTGTTCTTCAATTAATATCAAGTGAATTATCCGGAATTACTACTAAAGAAATGCAGCAACTGTTTCGTTCTAGTTTGGGACTCTTCAGCAGTACTCTCAGGTTTTCCAATGGTCCTCTAACTAATATCAGCTCATGATGAAATCCTGTAATCAATCAAATCCCTACAAACCAACATTTAAATGCAGCAACATTGAAATAGTAGTTTAGCAAATAAGATTTTCACCAACCACTCACTTGAGAGTTTTCACAAAAGCTATTCCCTGACCTTTCAAGTAGCGCCTTTAACCAGTAAAAAATAGAGGTATACTACGTCACCGGTATGAAAAATAGTTTCGATGACATATATCCGGAGACCTAAACCAGCCTAGTCTACTGGCCTGTTCTAGGCCGCCCAGAAAATGATGGAAAGCTAGAGATGGGGCTAGCGACTCTATCCACAATATCTATGGAAACTTCATAGCACAGAATATATACAAAAAATGGACATATTTTCTGATGGGATCTGTAAGATGGACTGATGCAAGTATGTGAAAGCCTTCGGGAAGCTGATCAGCCAATGTCTTTTTTCGATAGCATCAAAAATAAGCATACGGACATGAAATGTCCGTACAA